TATAAACTTGGGTCCTAAGACCTTTAGACCTATCCACATAAAGAGCATAAGACACAACGGAATCAAATCACATAATATTATAATTCTTACTATTTAAATAATAATTTAATATCTCAAATCATAAGCACAAATGTCAAGGAATAATCAATGACATTTAAATTGAATTCATATACTAAAATCATATGCTCACAAATACGATGCCACAAGCGTAATGCATAAATCGAAAATCACACAATGTTATGGAGTCCACTGAGGTGTGCTAGCAACACTGTACTGGAGCTAATCACAGTACTAACCCTATTGCGCAGAAGTCCACTAAATACCCCGAAGGGTCCACTGAATACCCCAAGCTTTAAGTTTAGGTCCACTTACTCCATAACCACAAACACATACGCATGTCAAACAAATTCATAATATGTCCAAAATAATATTAGGACTTTCTATTGAAAGAGATCAAAGCATAATGCGTGAACAGTAATCATAAACAGTAATCGTGAACAGTAATTGTGAACAGTAATCATGAACAGTATTTCGTAAATAGTACAATTTACTTATAATTCCTGCAGCAAAAATTCACACCCAAATCAAACATAAAAAGGACTAACTCACTGTCTTTCCCATATAAGCCCCAAAATTAAGGATATTTCAAATGAAATTTTAATACCCAAAAATCTTATAAAACAAAGGATTAGAATCAAATCTCACCAATTTAAACTACCCAAAACTCTAATCCAAAATTTATAACTAAAACTTATACTTACCTAACAAAAACACCTTAACCTTGGTTGGAGAAAGAAGGAAGAAAAGGATGTAGGTGGAAGAGGAAGGCGTAGGAAAACAAAATAGGGCTTTTGGGAGCCTTCTGGAGGCTTATCCAAGCTTCCACCGACAAAGAAAAAAAACTTGGTTGGGACAATGCCATGTGGTAAGCAAAATTGAGATAATTAAGTTATGGTCATTCAACTTCTACTAAGTTTTACTTAAAATCCCCAAACTTTAAATTCAATCAATTTAATCCCTAAAACTATAAACTAAAGGACACTAATTTTTAAATTATTCACTAAGGTATGTGGGGTGTTACATCCTCCCCACCTTAAAAGGATTTGGCCCACCAAATCATTTAGCTTACCAAAATAGATTTGGATACTGCCCCCTCATCTGACTTTCAAGTTCTCATGTAGCTTCATTCTCAGAATGATGCCGCCACAACACTTTCACTAAGGATACAGTCTTGTTTCTCAAAACTTTTTCTTTCCTATCCAAAATCTGTGTTGGCTGTTCGGTGTAACTCAAATCTTCCTTCAACTCTAATGGTTCATAGTTTATGACATGTGAAGGATCTGGCTTATACTTCCTCAAAACCGACACATGAAATACATTATGCACATTTGACAATTCTGGAGGCAATGCAATTCTATAAGCCACTTCACCTACCCTTTCAAGAATCTCAAACGGGCCAATGTACCTCGGATTGAGTTTTCCTTTCAAACCAAATCGATACACTCCCTTAGTTGGTGACACCTTCAAAAATACATGATCTCCAACTTCAAATTCCAGAGGTCTCCTTCTATTGTCTGCATAACTCTTTTGTCTGTCTTGAGCCACTTTAAGCCTTTGCTGAATTAATTTCACCTTTTCTGTTGTTTGCTGCACAAAATCAGGCCCCATTACCCTTCCATAACCAACTTCTGCCCAACAAATTGGAGTTCTACATCTCCTGCCATAAAGAGCCTCATAAGGTGCCATTTTCATATTGGAATGATAGCTATTATTATAAGCAAACTCTGCCAATGGAAAATGATCATCCCAACTCTCAGGCAAATCTAATGCACAAGCTCTTAGCATGTCTTCGAGTACTTGAATAGTCCTCTCAGACTGCCCATCGGTTTGTGGGTGGTATGCTATGCTTAATTTCAACTGAGTTCCCATGGCTTTCTGAAAAGATCTCCAAAATCTTGCAATAAACCTTGGATCTCTATCTGATACAATGCTCACTGGGACCCCATGGAGTTTAACAATCTCCTGAACATAAAGTTTGGCCAACTTGTCTAATGGGTCTTTTTGTTTTATGGCCAAAAAGTGAGTTGACTTTGTTCATCTGTCCACAATCACCCAAATTGCATCAAATTGCCTTCTCGTCTTCGGCAATCCCACAATGAAGTCCATTGAGATGGCTTCCCATTTCCACTCCGGTATAGGCAAAGGTTGAAGTTGCCCTCCTAGCTTTTGGTGCTCTGCTTTTACCACTTGACAAGTCAAGCATTTGGACACATATTTAGCCACATCCTTCTTCATGCTTTTCCACCAGAATGTCTCTTTCAAGTCATGATACATTTTGGTACTCCTAGGATGAATGGTATAATTGGACTTGTGTGCTTCTTGGAGCAATTCCATCCTCAACCCTTCATTATATGGAACACAAATCCTATCTCCAAGTCTTATGATTCCATCATCCGAAATATGAAGACCCATTTTAGAGCTTTTTTCATTGTCCTTCATCCACTCCATCAATCTTGAATCTTTCTGTTGTGCTTCCTTGATCTTTGACAACAGCGTAGGTTGAACCATCAGACTAGACACTAGTACATCAGACTTTGGTGGCAAAAACCTGACATTCAAATTCTTGAATTCTTCTAGGAGTTTCCACTCCATCACCATTAAGCTTGCTAAAGTGCCAGTTGATTTTCTGCTAAGTGCATTTGCAACCACATTTCCCTTTCTAGGTTGATAGACAATTTTGCATCTATAGTCATTCAGATACTCCATCCATCTTCTTTGTCTCAAGTTAAGCTCTTTTTGTGAAAATAAATATTTCAAGCTTTGGTGATCAGTGTGCACCTCAAACTCTTCTCCATACAAATAGTGCCTCCACAACTTAAGTGCAAAAATTATGGCAGCAAGTTCTAAATCATATGTAGGGTAATTCCTCTCATGTGTCTTGAGTTGTCTAGACCCATAAGCTATCACCCGTCTATGTTGCATAAGTACACAACCCAAGCCTTTGTGAGAAGCATCGGTATATACCATAAAGTTTCCTCCATTGTTGGGAATAGCAAGAATTGGTGCTGTGACCAATCTGTTCTTCAACTCTTGACAGCTTTGCTCACATTTATCTGTCCATTTAAACTTCTGATTCTTACGAGTAAGTTGTGTTAACGGACCAGAAATCTTTGAATATCCCTCCACAAACCTTCTATAATATCTTGCTAGTCCAAGAAAACTCCGCACTTCGGTGACACTAGTCGGCCTTTCCCACTTTACAACTGCTTCCACTTTACTAGGATCAATTGATATACCGTCTTTCGAGACAATATGACCCAGAAAGCTAATCTGATTCAGCCAAAAGTCACACTTATCAAACTTGGCATATAACTTCTTTTCTCGCAAAATCTGCAATACAATGGCCAGATGCTCCTTGTGGCTCTCTTCATCAGGAGAAAAGATAAGAATGTCATCAATGAAGACAATGACAAACTTATCTAAGTACAATTGAAAGATCCTATTCATAAGATCCATAAAAGCTGTAGGGGCATTAGTTAAACCAAACGGCATTATCAAGAACTCGTAGTGCCCATATCTGCTCCTAAAAGCAGTCTTCATCACATCCTCGGGTTTAACCTTTAGTTGATAATAACCCGATCTAAGATCAATTTTGGAAAAGACACGAGCCCCTTGTAACTGATCAAACAAATCATCAATCCTTGGCAAGGGATATTTATTCTTGACGGTGACTTGATTCAACCGTCTATAGTCAATGCACAATCTAAGTGAGCCATCTTTCTTTTTCACAAAACGAACCGGAGCACCCCAGGGAGAAGTACTGAGTCTAATGAACCCCTTATCAAGAAGCTCTTGCAACTGCTTTTTCAATTCAATTAATTCTGCTAGGGCCATTCTATAAGGGTGCTGGGATATTGGTGCAGTACCAAGCACAAGGTTTATAGTAAACTCAATCTCCCTATTTGGAGGTAGCCCAGGCAACTCCTTAGGGAAAACATCAGGAAAGTCTTCCACTACCCAAATTCCTTCTACAGACATCGGCTTGTCTTTAGATTCAAAAACATATGCCAGATATCCATAACACTCATGCTGCAACATTTTATCAGCTTGCATGCAAGAAACAAGTAATGGAAATGATCCAACTTTTTCTCCTTCAAACCGAATCACAGGCTGGTTAGGAGCGGAAAAAGTAACCACCTTCTCATAACAATCAACCATGGCATAATGGGTAGACAACCAATCCATACCAAGTATGACATCAAATTCCACTATGCCTAACAAAATCAGATCAGCAACCAAAACTTTACCCTCTACCATAACTCTACAAGATCTATAAATAGTTTTTGATGTTAAAACCTCCTTAGAAGGAGTATTCACCACAAGCACACAATCAAGGGTCTCAGGCTCCACATGCAAAAATGGCACATACTTAGGTGACACAAATGAGTGGGTAGATCTAGAGTCAATCAACACATGGGCATTCCCGAAAGAGATAGGTATTTTACCTTTTATAATTGTAGGAGTGTTTTGAACTTGTTGTTCTGTGATGGCCAAAACTCTTTCTTGAACCCTAGGCTTCTTATTATCTTGATCCTTTGGCTGCTGACTTGCTCCCTTGAGAACCGGGCAATCCTTGATCAAGTGGCCAGTCTTCCCACACTTGAAACATGCCCCAGTCTGCCAATAACATTCTTTTCCCCCATGGTTCTTACCGTACCTCTTACAAAAATCAAAACTTGGTCTGTTGTTTTTGGGGATCTTCCTTTTTCCCCTTTGTTCAGGCTTCTTGTTGAAAGGCTGGTTGTTGATAGCCTTTCCCTTGCCTTTTGAGTCATGAGTCTCCATTTTTTGCTCCTCCATATCTTGCTCAATTATTTGAGCTGTGGCCAAGACCTCATCATAAGTCTTTAGCATTTGAGGAACCACCTTGTTCCTAATGAAAGCTTTCAACCCTCTTTGAAACTTCCGTGCCTTCCTAACTTCATCATTAACAAGGTGAGGAGCAAGCTTCATAAGAGAACTGAATTTAGCTTGATACTCATCAACTGTCATGTCATCTTGCTTCAAATTCATGAACTCCAGTTCCTTTCTTTCCAACACAGCTGCAGAAAAATATTTTCGATAAAAGGCTTGAACAAACTTGTCCCATGTAACCTCCTTTCCTCTCTTAGAAAACCCATCTTGAGCAGCTGTCCACCAATCATCAGCTTCACCTTCTAATGTGAACACTGCTAGCTCCACTTTTTGCCCGTCAGTACATTTCAGGAGCTTGAACATCTTTTCTAATTTATTAACCCAAGACTCAGCCACATCGGGATCAGGAACTCCCTTGAAGCTAGGCGGGTTCATGTTCTGAAATTGCTTCACCAATGTCAACTGCTCATTTCCTTCTCTAGAGTCCACTGTTTGCTGTGAATTGCCACTAGTGTTTTGTGGGGCATTATTGTTGTTCTGATGTTGAAGATAATCCCTAAAGATGGAACTCATATCCGTAATGGCCTTTTGCATTATGTCCATTCGGGCATTCACGTCATCAGTAGGAGGAGGAGTAGAAGTATTGTCTCCTTGACTCATCTTTCTTCTCTGGTACTGATACAAACAAAGGGTGCAAAACTAATAGTTAGACAAAATCTAATCCTATGACACTAGACTCTAACTCATATGGCAGATCAATATATTAGCAAAACCTTGGCTCTGATACAAAAAATATAACACACCTCCCTAAGCACTTTTAGTCCTAGGAGAGTTCGAAAATAAGATTTATAATAAAGAATTGCAACGGAAATAAAAACACTTTCGAAAAAAGAAGGTCATAAATACCTATAAAGGAAAATCACTTTAACAAGTCAATATATATATATGGAAAAAATGCCAAAATATTCAGAGTTATAAAATAAGCCGAGTTAAGCTCATTTATAATTAATTTAAAGATTTTATACATAAAAGTAATTTACACAAAAATTATATGAGGCAAATTCTTCTCCAAAACTTTTCAAAAAAACAAAAGCTGAGTCATTGTTTTGGTAACACATCGATCTGCCTCCCTATCGAAAACACGAGGCCTTAGCTTGTACATACAACGAGCATGCGAGTCCCGTGCCAAAAGCTCCCTAACCGAGAGGCTGCTACCTCGATCTACTGATCTAAAATGGGGGAGGGGGGATTTTATGAGCTAACAGCCCAGTAAGTAATAAGTTTAAGTTATAAACTTGGGTTCTAAGACCTTTAGACCTATCCACACAAAGAACATAAGACACAATGGAATCAATTCACATAATATTATAATTCTTACTATTTAAATAATAACTTAATATCTCAAATCATAAGCACAAATGTCAAGGAATAATTAATGACATTTAAATTGAATTCATATACTAAAATCATATGCTCACAAATACGATGCCACAAGCGCAATGCATAAAATCGAAAATCACACAATGCTATGGAGTCCACTGAGGTGTGCTACCAACACTGTACCGGAACTAATCACAGTACTAACCCTACTGCGCAGAGATCTACTAAATACCTCGAAGGGTCTACTGAATACCCCAAACTTTAAGTTTAGGTCCACTTACTCCATAACCACAAACACATACGCATGTCAAACAAATTCATAATATGTCCAAAATAATATTAGCACTTTCTATTAAAAGAGATCAAAGCATAATGCGTGAACAGTAATTATGAACAGTAATCATGAACAATAATCGTGAACAGTAATTGTGAACAGTAATCATGAACAGTAATTCGTAAATAGTACAATTTACTTATAATTCCTGCAGCAAAAATTCACACCCAAATCAAACATAAAAAGAACTAACTCACTGTCTTTCCCATATAAGCCCCAAAATTAAGGATATTTCAAATGAAATTTTAATACTCAAAAATCTTATAAAACAAAGGATTAGAATCAAATCTCACCAATTTAAACTACCCAAAACTCTAACCCAAAATTTATAACTAAAACTTATACTTACCTAACAAAAGCACCTTAACCTTGGTTGGAGAAATAAAGAAGAAAAGGATGTAGGTGGAAGAGGAAGGCGTAGGAAAACAAAATGGGGCTTTTGGGAGCCTTCTGGAGGCTTATCCAAGCTTCCACTGACAAAGAAAAAAAACTTGGTTGGGACAATGCCATGTGGTAAGTAAAATTGGGATAATTGAGTTATGGTCATTCAACTTCTACTAAGTTTTACTTAAAACTCTCAAACTTTAAATTCAATCAATTTAATCCCTAAAACTATAAACTAAAGGACACTAATTTTTAAATTATTCACTAAGGTATGTGGGGTGTTACATATCTTAACTGCACCGTGATGGGGGGATGCAAGACATCTATTAAATAACTCGTTGCATTGCTGGCAAAACATGGTATTTTTAAAAAGTGGTTTGATCTGGTCACTTGTTATGGAATTTGTTTTTAGTGTGTGTTTTCTTTTGGCTTATTAGTGGAATTGTTGTGTTGATGTGGATTCTTCCTTGGCTAACAATCTTATTCCTTTCCCCTGTTGTGCATTTTATCTGAAGAGTGGCTGTGGACACCTTATGACAAGCTTGTCGAGGATTCAAGTCAAGTTACTGGAAGGTCACCTTTTGTCTTCTGTCTACAATTGAAGCACAACTTAAAAATTCAACTAAATGTATGGATCTTTTCATCTGCTCTTTTGCTTAATGCCACTTTAAGGAAACCATCCAGTTATGTACTCTATATTCTATGTTTTCAATTAGTCATACAAGCAATTCTATTATTGCCTTATATCCACCCCTAGATATTAACAAAGTTTGTGAATAACACTCCCACACAAAATCCTTACTCTACGGGGTTAGGATTTTGAAGTGATGCCTCCAAGAGATGGCTTAACTAGTTAAAAGTTTGAGATTTTAATTTGAAGCTCTTAAGTTTAAATTTTGAGTCCGATGGAGAGCCATTTGGGAAAGAAGAGAACTATCATCTCTTATATAATCCATAATCAAATGTATGACAAAAGGATTATGAAGTGATCAATAATAAGATTAACCTTAATAAACAAACAAACAAGCAAGCAAGCAAACAATATTAACATAAAGATTTCACAAATGTATAACCAAATAAACAGATTCCAAACCCAATGGGGTGGCTCAATAGTTAAGAACTTGAGATTTAAAAACTTAAGATTTCAAACTGGAGATCTCAAGTTTAAACT